ATGTTCCCAGAAAAATGATGATCTTGACAATACAACAGCACGGCTTAAATTTTGCTATCACCTCCTTCATTATGGTTATTGGGTGCTATTTCCATCTTAAATTTAAATGTAGATTCTAATCCTAAAACTTGTATAATGTGTTAAAGCTTTTGAATTGAGAGTTCTACAAGTGCTTCCAAGTTTCTGAAAACAATGAATGGGATTCACCACTCTTTTAAACCACTATAAGAGAGTGGTGAATCAAGCCCACTGTTTTAAATAAGGCTGCAGACTGCAGATCTGACTTTGGGTAAGTCCAAGTGATTTCCATCAATTTTAGGACAGCCCAGCCTGCAGATTTCTGAGGGGCTAATAGGTCAATGTGACAGCCCAGATTCCTCCTGCCCTTGAATTTTCATGTCTGATTTCATTATTTGCATTATTTTCAATTCATATTTGCATGTGTGCACACAAAATGCAAAAGCATTTAATTACATCTATTTTAATTCAACTGGAATAAGAAAATCTTTACTCACATTACATGGGCCACTTGCAAAAAATGGTTGGTATTATTTATTTTAACACTTGTGCTAAAGTTCTGAGGACCACCAAGAAGATTAGAGGTTGGAGGACATATAATATGTCAGACTAGGGCAGCTTGTTTTTCCTATCTTGAAGAAGAGAAGGCTGAGGGAGATCTAGTTGGCCTTAGCTCCCTAAAGGGAAGGATAAGGAGATATGGTCTATTCCCAGAAGTGCTCAATGAAAGAACAAGAGGTGACAGTCACAAGTTGCAGGGAAATTTCAACTGGATGCTGGAAAAAAAAAATCAGACTGAGGATGGTCAGTGTGGGAACAGATTGCCCGGAGAGTCTGGGTATTTCCATCCTCAAAGATTTTCAAAATGTGACTGGAAATGGGTCTGTGCTACTTGCTCTGACATTGAATTTGAGCAGAGGCTGGACAAAACAACCTCTGAAATGCTCCTTCAACATAAATTATGTTATAGTTATTCTACAATAATGCACTTGAGCATCCTTCTGAACCTTTCTAAACCCAAAAATAAATACTCTTTAAAAGTCTCATGTTTTTCACTTTTATCATGAAGTATAATTACTTGCAAAGAGCAGAGTAGTAGGGGAAGTTATTGTGTAAAGTGTTATAAGGATCAATGAAGGCTTCATAGCTTCTGCATTTACTGAGCCCAAGTTACCTACATGGCATTCAAAATAGAGATTAACAATGCAAAAACATTGCCACTTTGAATTTTCCCTTGACTATCATCACCTTTTCTCTCAAGTCAACATAAGAAGCTTATCAAAACTTATCAGCAAAACAGGTTAAAGAATCCCCATGTAACATATAATGCAAGCAGGGGTTAATTAAAAAAGGAAAAGGTGAACTTGCAAAGCTGTCCTGATGGAAAACCACATCCCTGACACAGTAAATGAGGGTTTTGGAAGCATCACCTGCAGCATTGGCTATCGGCTAAGCCGTACACTGCTTTTTAATTATTGCAAAATCTGTAGTCAGAAAGGTTTGGAAGGCAGTGCTCAGCAAGACTTGCTGAAGAAGGAACATTCAGGAACTTCACAGGGTAGGAGGAAAATTGGGATTTGGATAACTGAGCAGCCATCTGTCCCAGGTTGTTAATAAACACACTCCAAGGGGCCTCCACCACGGCTTTTATCTGGATATTATTTTAAGTGCTCATGGGGAAGAATTTATTCTGCTTGGGGATTTTTATTACTACTGCTATCATTATTTCTGTAGCCAGGAGGGGCTGGAGATACAGGATATTGGCAGGGAATAACTAAAATATGAAGAAAGTAAGGGAAATATGGCATGAGCTGCAGGTGGGTAATGAGAATGCGATAAACTAAAATCTTTGGCAGGGAACTCTGGCAGAATTATTACTTTATATTATTCCTAATTTTAAATAACTTCCAAATGACAACCACTGTAGTACAAACTATCTTTCCCTCATGTGATGTGTTTCTAGATTCTAAATGCATGAGAAAGTATGATTTAATAAGTTATTTGCTAACTTTAAGTGAAGGATCCAGGCTTTCCTTTCTATCATTATGCTTTAAGCTCCCCTGTTGTACTAGCTAGGACATAAACAGAAATGGCAAGATTAGCTCAGGGTTTTCTGTAAAATGAAATATAGGGTGGAATTAACTGGGACTATTATCAGAAGAAATCCCAGAGACCTGCTCAGTCTCACTAGAAATATACAAAGTTGAGTAACCCTGAGGGTGCCTATAACCTTAAGTGTCCTAGAATCTGTGATGCCTCTCACTGACGTATCCTACAGCAATGCAAATGTGGGTTCATGATGTGAATTCATAGGTGACATTACTGCTGATTTATTGTTGTTTTATGGAAAGAGGAAGGTCCCTAGCTAGATGTAAATGGCCTCTAGGTGCTCTCCCTATGCCCTCTGCTATAGTGGAAGCAGAGTGAGAATTCACTGCACATGTATTAATTTCAGAGGTTAGCAAAAGGTGGAGGAATATATAACTGCACTTTGCTGTGAACGTGATTGTTCCTCTGTGCTGAAGACAATTAACTGTGGCCCACAACTCTTTTAATCAGCTCTTAGGCTGCTTAGGGCTCTCCATACCCATTCTAGCTGGAGTACAAGGTTTCTCTATGTGTGTTGTTTCAATGGGATGCTTTTTCACTTGCAGAAGCCCATACAAGTTGGAATTAAATTGCGAGCCTTGCCAGCAATTCTACGCACTCAGGTATACTATCAATATTTATTGTTGGCCTTGCTCCCCACATAGCACATCAATGAGATGAGCTGTTGGGAAAAAGAAAATAAAAGAAGTGACAGAGATATCAGACATATTACAGGCATTTACTAAAATAAAAATGTTACAGTTAAAAATGAGTATCTTTATATATATATAGTTCTATTGCATATCTTTGCATATAAATGCATGAACATGCAGACACAATACTTGTTTGTTATAATCACAATCACTTAATATGCTGGCTCCCTGTGTAGCCCCGCCTCTATACAGATTTTATCTTTTTAATTTGCTATAAGTGAGATTTTTTTATTTTTTGCTAGGCTGATATATGTCACTTCTCAATCTGCTGCATGCAACTTTTCATTTTCATGGGAGAATAAGATGTTGGACTTGTCTTAAGTATCCTCAATCACAATACTTTTTGTTTCAGTGCTTTGTACATCCCAGCCCTCATTCCTTCTGTCCCTAGACTGTTTACATCCTGAGGAGAAGACAATATTGCCATGGTATGGGTGGACATAACAGAAATATTTTGCAAAGAGTTTACAGCTTGCATTTTAGATAAAGTTTCCCGTGGGATTTAATCTCTCTCCATGTATTTCAGACTGGCTTTTTCTGCAGTAAGTACCTCCTCAGTTTAGCAATTTCCCATTGTTCTAATTTTACTTCATTTCAAAGCAATGGAGTGTTTATAAGCATATGTACTCCATATACATAGCTACAACCTCTGTTTAAAAATTACAGCTGCCATTGCAAGTCCACTTCTCAATCAGTGTTTGTCAGTATAATATGACAAGCAACTCTGCAGACACTTATAGGTCTAATTATTGATCAGTGGGACATTTTTCTCTGCTCAGCCCTGTTGCAAAATGAAAAAATAAGCATTTTATAGTGTGCCTTTCCTTAGAAACTTCGATACTATTGTAGATGGCATGTTATTAAAATAGGTTAATGGATTTTTCTTTTATCATACAACTCTTGATTTTAAATACAGATTTCCATAATAAGATTTTCTGAATCTGCACAGGGAGAGTCAAGCAATAAATAAGAGAAAGAGTAACATTTATGCTACCATTTTCTATTCTATTATTATGATAAAAATTTTAAGTTTCTTAGACTTTCTGGGCTAAATTTACAACAGTTTTCCTGCCGTTGACTTTGTCCAGGTACTGGGCTGATTTTAATCTACCATTTAACCATTCACTTTTGGTGCCTTTAGTGGAGCTGCATGATTTTACATGGAGGGGAGAAGATAAATCTATGGCCCAAATAGGGATTTACATTTTGAAATACAGGCATGTTTAATTTACTATTAATAGGGAGAAAAAAAGAAAGAAATTGGAAAAAAAAAAATCTGATGTATAAACCACTGTGCCCTTTTGTTTGGACTCCCTTTGACCTCAAGCCCACAGTCTCTGCAAATAAAGACTTTCTAGAGCAGTCCGTGCTTCTGTCTTTATTGAAGACACTTAGGGAATCAATAAAATGCCTGTAATAACCATAATGAAAGTCTGTCTTTTATTCTGCAGAGTTCATCCAGCCACACCTAGACAATAAGGTTTTTGTTTCCTCAAGATTTCTACACCAAGGATCTGTATGGGATTTGCACCACTTTCTCGACTCTCATTTTAATAACTATCAACAAAATCTTTTATGAAGAAAGTTCCCTTTAAGTAACTTTTTTTTTCTTTTTTTTCTATTTAACACTCCGTATTTTAAATGTTCATCTTTGCATGAAGAGTGTTGGATCTTTATGGGTGGAGGGACTCTTGGCTTATTCAGAGGAGACTGGATCTGTTTACTTAATTTGCTGTTTTGGAAAGGAAGATGATATAGTCCCTTTTTAATATTCCAGGAAAGGTTTTGGCTGTCTATCAAGGTATTCTTCTCAGTCAAAAGGTCCCCTTTCTTTCTCCTTTTGAATTAACATAACGAATGCCAGCTAGCAGCAAAGCTTTGAAAACAGGAGTCACTTCAGTCCTTTATAGTTAGCAATACCTTTCCCTTCATACACTCATTCAGAAAGTTCAAAGAAACTCAGAGCACAAAAATTTTGACATCTAGGAGGTGTGATTCATTCCTGCTTTCTGTGCTAATCGGCCATCAGGCTCAGATGGTGCTCACAGCTGGGACATACAAGGCATAAATTGACTGCAACCATATCATTACCAAAACCTCCCAAATAACAGGCCAAAGAGGAGAAGAGGTAGGGAATGTGGAGCCTGCATGTATCGGGGTATTCAGTCCACAGATACTCACCTGCCCCAGGGACAGCAGTGGAGAGGACAGAAACAGGCCAGGCTGGGGCAGAAAGCCAGTAAGAACTGCTTCCCTCCTCTTAAAAAGCTGTGACTCCTGCACCTGTGCATGAACAGGGAGAGAAAAGAGGAGGTGCCCTGAGCTGAGTGAGAGCATCAAGGGTGCAGCATGGCTGGGGTAGGAGCCTGGCCAAGAGTAATGTATTGCTTTTTTTTTTTTTTTTTTTGTCTAACAACCTATTGCTCTAGATTTCATATAGTTTGAAAGCGTTGGCAAAATTTCTTAAAACTTTGTATCTACTAATGAACAGTGTATGTGTTTAATGTCTAAGTTGTGCCAGATCATCTCAGTAAGGTAGGTTTCTTGCTCCCTGGTTTGTAATAAACAAGAGACATTGACACCAAGTGTATCTAGTACACAAAGAGCTGCATAGATAATCCCTCAAAAAAAAAAAAAAAAAAAAAAAAAAATGGAACCTCAACTAAGAAATTTGAACAAATGGTTCAGAGAAAGCTGGGTATGGTGGACATACCTCCATGACTTCCTGACTTCCTGTGGAAATGGCCTTTTTGTCAAAATGATCTCTGGGGCCCACCTTATTCTGAGCAGCCTTCAAGTTGTAGCACAGGGTAGAGTCTGGGGTGGACAAGGCTGGTGGATGCTTTGGCTGAGCAGGAGTGCTCTGGCACTAACTTTCTCCTACCGCATTTACCTATATTTTCTCAATGTCCTTATCTGAAGGCAGGGCCTTGAGACTTCTTGTCCTGGAGGCTGTTAATCTATAACAAAATATCCACCTAAACAAGCAAAATAAATAGTCCTTTTTTTCCTCCTTTGTTCCTTCCCAGCCTATTTCTCTCCTACTCACCCTACAATTCTTTCACTAACTAACTCTCATTATTTCCCCTGAAAATTCCCATTAAACAAGCATTCAGCATGTGCCAAGTGTTGCCCAGGAAATCCAAAACACCCACACACAAGCAATGAATTGATGTGAAATCAGGGAGAGCAAGAGAAATGATGAAAGGCTCAGACAGCAAATGCTTACGGGAAAGTTGCAGAGACCTGGATACATTCAGTCTGAAGGAAAGATGAAAGACAAAAAACAGAGTTTACAGACAAGAAAGGGGATGTTGTGAGAGGCAGAAAAATCTATTAATCTGACAAACTAGCTGAAGGTTTGAGCTGAAGCTGCAACTTAAGTTACCATGAAGAAAATAGAGGTTAAGTATTTACTCAAAAGAACAAAATATTCAGTAAAATCCCATTTTGACCATCTCACTGGTCAGCACCTGCCTCCTTTTATGGCAGCAATATATTAAAATCTTGAGTGGACAGAGTATGTTTTTGTATCTCAGACTGGCAGCGGTGACAGCAGTAGGTTTGCATCAGCCTTTTTCCGCAGCAGGAGGAGCAGTCAATTTTTTTAGAATAATTTTGAACATTTCCACTTATAATATTTCCTTGCTACTGATGGGGCCTAGAACACTGCCAACACCCCTGAGCTATCTTGTGTGTTTCTCATATGACACAGCTTTTTATAGCTGCTATAAAATTGAAGTTTACTGTGGAGTACAAAAATAGTGTCTGTCTGGATGGCTGAGAGTAAGTTTAGACTCAATATTCTGTGAATTCTCTGGACTAAGCAGCCACCTACTCTATGGTTATTTGTAGTTGTGAGGGACAGGCTGTGACCCAATCCCCCACAAGGCTGAAATCCACAGGAGAGAATCATGAATTTGTTTGGTAAAGGAGTTTTTATTGTCCTCTCCAAACCTTCTAAATATCACCACCACTGAATATATCAACATTTCATTGAATTTGTAAAAAGACACAGAAAGAAAAGAGGGTCTGTCAACAGAGAAGGGAAAAAAAAAAAAAAAAAAAAAAAAAAAAAGGAAAACGGTATATAACTCAAAAAAAAAAAAAAAAAAAAACACTCTGAAAGCTGTTGTGATGGCTTTTGATGAAGATGAGAGTTAAGATGGGTTGCACTCCCATGGATTAACTTACAGGCACACTAGGAAGTACAGAACGGGAAGCCACTACTTTGTGTCATTATTAAATCTCTTCACTTGTTCTCCTCACAAGGAGCTTTAAGAAAGCAAGGCTTCTAAAAGGTTAGCAGCAAGTACTCACTGCAATTCCAGTCTCTGATGAACAGCTCACATAAACTTTTATTGAGGGGTATGACAGTTCTACAGATAGATTTGCCAGTCTTTCTGCTTTGAGGACCTGGAAGTCACCACCAGACTTCATGGGTGTCTACACATTTTAATTTATAAAAAATGATAAAAACTCCAAGACTGACTAGTAATCAAATATGTTATGCCTTCTATATGACTATGGAGAGGGGGAGTCCCATGGCTATCTCAATACATCAAGTACAGAACAGATTTATAAATCAAGAACTCTTATACGACTAAATCCAGGGGTACATTTAAAAGACTGCTGGCATTTGCAAAACTTACTGAATGGTTACTGTAAACCATGGGGAATATGAGTGGGTTTTTCTTTCTTTCTTCCTTTCTTCCTTTCTTCCTTTTTTCCTTTCTTCCTTTCTTCCTTTCTTTCTTTTATAATAAGGTTACTGAGGAGGCAGAGGGGCAGACCTGTTGACCCATCTGTGGAAAATGGTAAATTTGGATTTGAGGACTATCAATGACAATATACAATGACAATGACAATGACAATACTAAAAGCAGCCATCAGTCAAACCTAAAGAAACGGACTGATAAAATCAAAGCTAGGAAAAGAGCATGAAAGTCATTGATAAAGACTGAGAAAATTAGATTCATCCTGTAAAAAAAGAAAACTGGATTGGTTACTGAATAGGAAAACAGAGAGGCTGAGAAGTGATAGCTCTGAAACACGAGGACTGAAGAAGCTAGTGGCACATCAAGCTGAAGGAAGCATTTCCACTGCAAGAAAAGTCTGGCCAGAGGGAGCAATGAAGTGTGAGTAAGGGTTGATGGAAATCACGCATGCATTTAAAGACTCTACAGATCACCATCTTTATGAAAAGGAAAAACAAACAAACAACAACAACAAACAACAAAAAAACTTAAAGGCTTTCTGAAAGCTCCAGAGTTAAAGACACTGCCCCAAAAGTTGGATGTATTGTGTTGGTTTAAGACACAGAATCTCATTTTAATGACTTAAGGAAAAGCAGCTCTCAGGGATCCAGTGCAGAATTTGATATATATATATATATATATATATATAAACATGTGCGTATGTGTGAAGGAGACTGTTTTAAAATCCTTTGAAGATCTACAAAGCAGTTCTGGTTTCATTAGGAGGAGTTTCTCCCAGCAGGCCTGTTACTTCTGCTTGCAGGTCTGACATCTCCTGACAACAAGCAGGCCTGGGACCATGGCCAAGGGGGGCACAAGGCAAACACGGCAGGCAGAACAGAGACATATCTGCAGATAAACACCAGCCAAGCATAATGTTTGTTAGGGATCTTGCCATGAGAAGGCTGCTGCACACAGTGTCCCGAGAGCACCCCCAGCAGCCTTAAGTCAGCCACTGCTGTTTCCTATAGCCCTGAAGAGGTACTAGTAGAAGGGCCTGAATCACCACCTGAATTTTATGGTGCTGTTTTCACAGAGCCACTCCATCCCTCAGCATCTCAACTTGAGATGATGCTACTCTCCTTCCTCACTGGCACACCGCAGAGCTCTATTCATTAGTGTTGGTGGCCTGCCTTAAAATTCTTGACTGAAGTGGGCTGAAGGAGTAAAACACATTAGGTACAAAGCATGCAGATAATATTGATGCTCAGACAAAATATGCTTCAATAAAAGCTTAATAACTTACTAAGAGGCAATAAACCCAACTGTGACCTTAAATGCACTACTCGTGGTTAATTTACAATTCCTGGCAGGTTTCTACCTTGGAGAGACAATCAGCACATGCTATTTCAGAAGAGGGCTTTACAGATAAGCAAAATGAATATAATAGCCTCCTTAGCCAGCATAAATCAGCATCACTCCTGTGACTGCTGAGCCAGTTTACTCTGGCTGTGTACCTGGCCCCACTTTGCTTGGTGTGACCAAAATGAATGATTTCATTCACCTGCTGGAGGCTGTAGGTGCCAGGGCTTAAAGGGGTGGCTGTGAGAGGCCTCTGGCTTCCTGGACAAATTTACATACTCAATTTCAGTCAGAAAGATTATGCCATGCTTGTAATCCTTTTCTGCATTAAAAGAAATTCTTTGAATGAACCCTTGGGAATTGAGGGCACGGTGGCATTGTGATAGTTTGGAAAACTGCCATAATTACTTTTTCTATAAAAAGAATCTCCGCATCACACAGTGTGGAGCAAAGACTTTTTAAACAGATGAGAAAAATGGACCTGATTACAGTTGAAGGGTAGGCTTCCAAAGAGGTAAAGCTCTTGTTCCACTGAAATGCTCCTGCCCTGAGCTGAAAACTCCACATCCTACTTGCAGAGGTAGCTCACGGGCCTCTAACTGCCTCTGAATGGGCACAAAGGACAGAAATACTTCTCAGCATGCTACTGCACAGTGAGAGGTCACAAATAATTACAGGCCAACTTTGTAAAGCATACACAACTTATCTGGCAGGAAAATAACCTGAAAGCTTTTTAGCCTATTCGAGCTAGAAATAAAAGATAATTTTGTCAGTTGCCTCTTAACGTTTTTGGTTTGGGTTTTATATTCTGAAGAAATATTGAAAATTGTTATTTTATAATTGTTTTCTAGTTGTTGTTGTTTTTTTTTTTTTCAATATTTTATTTTCTTCTTCATTTCTATTGTTTTATTAATTTTAAAACTATAATTAAACTACTACAATTAAAACAGAGCCAAGCAAAAACAGTTCAGAAAAAATGTTCATTTTTCCATTCCCACATTTCATATATGTTCTTAATTTCCAAAGCAGAACTGCAAACCCCCCCCTCGTATTTTCCTCTCCCCCAAACCAAATTCTTCCTATCCCATGAACGTGCTTCAACATCCTTGTTTTTCAGAAGCTGTTTCACGAGCACATTCTGGAGCCTCCCATCCCAGTGTCCTGCCCTCTTCCCACTCCTAGAAGATGCTTCTCACACTCAGACTACCTTAGCAACTTGCATTCACACTGTGAACTGGCTCAGACAACTAACCTGACTGGCCACAAATCATGTTTCAAGTCATTTTTTAAGCTATTTCAGCCCCATAGCTGATTCACTGAATGAT